ACATGTCTAAATGAATGGGAAAGAAAATGATCTCATGTGGCAAATTTAATGAAACAGTCCCCTGCTCACTGATTTCCAACATTCTTTCATACAAACCACAGACATGAAAGACAGGATAACCACCTCGGTATAAACAGTAAAATCTCTGACAGCTTACCTCTGATTTCTATTGTCTCACAGTCATATATCATCGTGTCACCCAGTCAAGGGACTGGAGGTGTCCAAATGGAAAAAAAGCAAGAAAAAAAAGCACACATTGAATTGGAGAGATTTGTCAGAGAGGTTGCCGTGAGACAGAGAGCTGGATCTGTCAGGGTTACATGCTGAGGGAAATTGACTGCTGCGGCAGTAGGTGGTACATCAACAGACACATTTGGTTTAGGAGGCAGTCTAATTGTACCATAGAGAAGTGCATGAGTGCAGCCCTGTCTCCCACAATGATTAATATCATCTTATTGACAGTGATGAAAAGTGTTGTTCAGATTGATTAAATGCACAGCTGCTTAAAGAGGGAAGAAAACATGAGTATGTCATTTTGCAGAGCTCTGCAGGGGCTCTGCGCAGCTAATGACATGACTGTAAAAGAATTGATGAGGGAATAATCTGTGAAGTTATCCTAGAAAAGTTGAATCGAGGGCGACTGGACAAAACTTAATCCAACTTTTCTTGGAGTAATCTAAAACAAAAAACAAACGTGACAGGGCTTTGCAGGAGACTTAAAACATGACTTCAAATGTTAAGTAATTCTCTGAAATATTAAACACTAAATGAGCAACAATCAGGTGTTAAAAAAGGTGCAAGGGAATCATTTGGATTCCTGCACATACAGTATTGCTTCCAAGAATCTATGTCCTGTCTGAACATATTTCTTAGGTCTTAAACACCAATCAAAACTGAATGATAATAAACCAGGACTGGTCAGGTCATTTGAGCAGCAAGGGAGCTAGGTGGTAATGACCCCCTGCGCCTCAGTTGGGACATGGGGTCAAGCCCCCCCCGTCAGCAAGCATTTGCCCTGCAGAAGTCATTGAATAGCAGCCTCAGGGCGGCTGGACTGCAGCTGAGCCAGAGCTCTGACTTCTCTGGAAGAAGAAAGAGAAAGTTTTGTGTTTGTTGTACCTGCAGTGGCTCTTTCCACTGAGGCGTTGTCAGTTTATATAGAAGAACCTGCCTATAGGTATCATTAAAGTGTGTCACTATCCCGTGTGTTACTCGTCATGCGGGCGCATCGGCGATCACATTTCTCCTGTCACCTGAACTGCAGCTTGCTTGCAGTCACTGCCTCTCTCCGCTATTTCTATTCATTTAAGATAGACTGCGCAGATAATAGGAGGTAATCTGATATTAAATGAACGCCGTATTTTGTCATTTTAAACAGAGAAGATGTGAAGATGTGACTGTTCATTTAAACATAAGTGTGATGTTCGCTGATCTCGATTGCAACCCAGCTCTTTCTCGTGTCACGAGTTCATTTAATTAATGAGTCCTGTTTCATTAGTTTAAAAGATAATTAGTAGTTTCATGAGAAGCGGATGCCATTTGCAAACAACTTTCCGTAAGTTCAGTCATAGTGTTTTCAGTGTTATTTCATTTAATGAGGATTTCTATTTCAGGATCACTGCGTTTTGATTTTGATGATGTGACCTCCACTTGCAGAATGTGTTTTCAGGTGGTATGTTATTGCTTATCATGGAAGAAGTTTCTGCTTTATTAAATCAGATACTAATTATACACAAATATGAAGGGCAAACTGAATAAAAGACAGTGGCATGAATTTGCTCTACGTGCACTTTCATACGTCAAATGCAATATTTTGTCAAAAGCAAAGTGTCCTCTCTCAACTTTTCCTGTTATTTGAAAGCCTTTATCCTCCAGACTTGATTGTCTATCAAGGGCAATGATACATGACAAACAAACTATGAGCAAGACATTAAAATACTTCTTCAGATGACCTTAAAGTCTTGTTTATTCCGATGGGAAAGATGTATTTGTCTACTCCTCTTTATCTTTTTTCACATGTCTCATAATTGTTCTTGAATAAATTACTATAAAAACAGAAAAATAAAGAAGAATTTTTACTTAGTTTTTTTTTGTTTGTTTTTTCGCTTGAAGCAGCTGTTGAACTTCACTCTGTGCCACTCAAGGTGTTCTGTAGTTCTGCTTTGCAAGTCTGCACGAGAAAAGTGCTGAACACCACACAACAATCAAAACAAGTTACCGCAGTGGCATCAAAGGTTTGGATGCGTGCATGGGTCCAAATATCTGAGACCACTTACCCATCGGGAAATTGGTTGGAGCCAATCCCACCTGACACTGGGCGAGAGGCGGGGGTACACCCTGGACAGGCTTTTTTTTTTTTTTCCTTCCTTTTTTCTGTTAATTCTCTTATCTTTATTTCAAAGGTGAAATCCCCTGGAGAAAAGCATTGTTATTTTTGTCAAATTAAATCTGTCAAAACCCGTTTTCTGTGAGAGTGTGAAATGTTGCTGTTTTACTGTGAGTGTGCTTGGGTTTTATTGCTCCTGATTTTTTTTTTTTTTTTTTGGGGCTCTCTGTTTGAACTCGGACAACTTGTAAGCAGCCTTTTAAACATACACCCAGTCCCATCTAGTGTTAAGCATGTTACTGAATTCTTGGGCAGGTTTTAATGGGGTTTTTTTTCATTATTGTTCCCATGAGCTACAATGTCAGGGTTTAAATTTGCTGCTTGCTCCACAAAAAAAAGTTTGATGTAAAGAGTTTGTGTGAGAAAACAAGGAGTTGCGGTTGTGTGGACAGAACAGATGTAATCCATCACTGGGACACCTTGCTCACAGAGAAGAAGAACTTACACCTCCTCTATAGCTTTATGAATGCACACACTGCGCACTGGTGCAAACTAACACTATAACGAAATATGTCTGTCAACAACCATTTTTTTTCATGACGAAGATGAATTGATAACGAGACGGCACCAACATCATTAAATGCTGAATCTGACTTTATCAACATTTAATATTGTTGACCAAAAAAGACGAGACTAAAATGTTGAAGTTTAAAAACTAGAAATTTTACCTTTTTCTTTCTTTGATATCGTATTAGGATTGTTAAGATATGACAAAAATGCCCAGACTTCAAAAAGAAAGAAAGGACGAGCAGGATGAGGTCGACTAAATATGCTAAAGACATTTGACAAAGACTTAAAAAAAAAAAAAAAAAAAAAAAAAAAGCTCTGGTCTTATTTTCATTGTTAGGGCCATGATTTTCTAAGTCTATAATTCTATGCAGTACGCACCACGTATTAATCATCATAGTATACTGTTTAGGCAGTTTGTATTCAATATTGTCTTACAACAGCACACTCATACTGTCTGGCTTGTAGCGTAGCTTCTTTAATGTGATCACTTTTGCAGTCTGAACACATTACACACTCAAACCCTGACAATGAATATGGAGTATAGATTTGGGCCAAAGCAACAGACGGTAAACTGTGATGGATGTTCACAACAGAAAAGTTATTTGTATTTAAAAAATGAAAGAAAAAAAAAAAAGAAATCACCACTCTCTTTTGTATTTGTCTGTTTGCTCAGTGTTCATTACTACTGATAAGAGTGAACAAAAATAAGCCCTTAAATTGGATTTTTGAATTTGACTGGATTTTATTGACTCATTGGAAAATGGTGCCATTGCTTTTGTTCATTCACAGAGAGTTGAATCATAAAGTCAATTTAACTTCCCTGCTATCTTTTAAATTCTTTCACCTCTCTCTCACTTACCTCTAGCATTACAGTTTGGAACTCTTTCAGGAAATTGTTGTTTCTCATCCTCCCCGATGTTGCTGCGGGTCAATTCAATTCCCTTGTACACTCTTCCCAAACCTGCTGCGGGGACGGCAAAGCCAGGGATGAGGGGGCTAATATCAGCCAGCAGAGAGCATCACTCATTCCCAGCCTTGTCAACAAAGGAGGGTTGCCTTACTATCGATCAGTGTCACTCACCTCTGATGAGCGCTGATCAAAAACCTATTTAAAATCTGACATCTCTTATTGGCGGTCAGATCGTGAGGGAGGAGGAGGAGGAGGAGGAGGCTTCAGCACAGCTGAGACAGATGAAGTGAAAAGAGCAAGAGAGAAACAAGACAAAGAAAGACCTCAGGGGAGAAAAAAAAGGTCAGAAAGAAAGAGGAAAAGCAGTGCTCAGGTTGCAGCTCAGACGCTTCCATCAGTGAGATCTTATACGCTCTGAAACCAATCAATGCATTCAGCTGGGCTGCTTTGATTGGCAGCAACTTCACTGATCTCAAGTGGAAATGGAGCTGCAGTACTATTCTTCATAGACACATGACATCTATTTTTGCTGGACTGTGTGTCCTGTCCATCCATGTCATTCTTTGAACTGATCTCACATACATCAAGAATCCTTATTATCATCATTAGAGGCCTGACAGTCATATTCATATGACATTTTTGTAAAGTTTAAATCGAGATTTAGTTGTGAACAAAAAAAAAAGAAAAACAAGTTAAATACATGTCTGTCTTTTTCACTGGATCGGCTGTGTGTCTGATGAACCCTCTGTGCCTCGCAGATAGACACTTAAGTGTGCAGCTCTGGCATAACTGCAAAAGAGGAAGATGAAAAGAGCAAGAGCGTGAAGTATAAAAATAAACGAGAGGAGGGGCATCCCCATGGCCTTGTGGTCTGGGGCGGTGGTTCCCAAACATTTTTAACAGCTTTTTTTTTTTTCCATTGCAGAAATGTGTGTGTGAGCGGTTGTGGTGGCTGAGATCTACTATTTCTCTGTCTCTGTCTTTTTAATCATCTGTGAATAGATTGTTTGCACGAACATATACGTACACACACGCATGAAAAACGATGGTAATTAACCTTAGAGCTTGAAAGCACACAGAATCCACAGACGGTAAACATGAGCAGGTGTCAGATCTCAGCAGCTTTGGGATGCTTGGAGTCACTGAAATGCCTGGGATGACTCTTGAACTCTGTGTCTACTGTTTCCCCTCCAGGACTGGCTGAGCAGGTTCGGCTACCTCCCGCCCCCTGACCCAGTGACTGGTCAGCTTCAGACCAAGGAGGCCCTGACCAAGGCCATCAAAGCCATGCAGAAGTTTGGAGGGCTGAAGGAGACCGGAGTCTTGGGTATGTGGCTGTGTTTGTTTTTTTTTTTTTTGTTTTGTCAGAGGGAGGGGGGTCATGTGGGAGAGCTGGTGGTTGATGGTGGTTTGATTTCCATAGAGATGAATCGGCACTTCTCTGATACAATCAGCCACTCTGCTTCTCTCCTCTCTAGACCAAGCCACACTGGGTCTAATGAAAACGCCCAGATGTTCTCTGCCAGATGTGTCTGATGCTGAGGTGACAGTGGGCCGGAGGAAACGAAGCCTCACTCCTCAGAACAAGTGGAATAAGAGGCACCTATCCTGGAGGTAGGAAAAATATGAGCTATAAACTCTATTAGACACTGTGTTCAATCCACTGTGATTCGGTGTAATTTACAGATGGAAAGATTAAAAAAAAAAAAAAAGATGTGGTAGTTAGTCAGCTTGTGTGCAACTGAAAGGTTTACTGGGTTTCAAATTGTAAGCTTAAATGTTTGAAAGGTAGAGACACTCAGTGGTTGTCCTAGATTAACTAATGATGCTATCACAATTTGGGTTAGGTCGGCATTAGGCCTGAAGTTTGGGTGGATAGTTACATAAGTTAGATAAGTATTGACTGTCTGAAGAAGAATTCCAGTTGAATGGAAAAGTTTGTTTAGTATAATTTGTGTTTCATCTTAGTTTATTTGTTTCAAATGAGATCACTGCATCTGAGCCTGAGGCAGGTCTGCACGTTCAGATCCACTGGAGTATGTCACATCAGTGCAGTGCAATGAGCTATAGGAGTCAGAAATCCCACCATTTTCCTTCCATCTGTGCAACCTTTGATAGATTAGATTAGACAACTCTTCCTCCAGCTGGAAATCCTTTGCTCACCAGATCAATTCTGGCTCAAAGGAAGGGCATTTTGTAAAAGTGGCAAGCTGATTAGAGAGACCTTTAATAAACAACAAACAAATCTGTCTTCTCATAGGATGTACAGAGATTCCTCGGGACATAGATATCTCATTAAACATACAAAATAAAAAGTTAGCTACTTGCCAGAATTCCCTCAGTATCACAACAAGGTACAGGCGGATTTTTATGTACGTTAATTAGATACACTGACAGGACATCAAGTAGTTTAAATCCATTCAGCTGTACTGCAATTAAAGGAATAATCAAACTATTCCTAACTGATTTCTACCAGAGTCACTGCAGAAAACCCAAACCCATACAAACTTCTCAAAGCACTCCTGCAGCACACTGTATAAATAATAATATATATCATATCTGATAATAACATCAATATACTGAACATGAAGATTGACAGCAGAGGAGTGGATAGTACTGAAGGAGCTGAAGGAGATTTGAGTCCAAGCTGACAAAAGCAGCCTTTATCCCTCCTCACTGCCGACAGCCAGGGTCAGAGACATTATGCTTTTGGGTCGTCTGTTCGTCCCATTCTCGTGAATATGATATCATGAGGGAATTTCTTCAAATTTGGCACAAACATTCACTTGGACTCAAGGATGAACCAATTAGAATTTGGTGATCAACGGTCAAAGGTCACGGTGACCTCAAAAACAGGGCTTTGGCCATATGAACAAATTATCTCGGGAACTGCTCAAGGGAATCCCTTCAAATTTGGCGTTCATGTCCATTTGGACTCAAGGATGAAGTGATTAGAATTCAGTGATCAATGGCCAAAGGTCAAGGTCACTGTGACCTCACAAAACCATAACTCATGAATTCATATGCTAATTATGACATCATTTAACACAAATGTCAAATAGGATAAAATGATGAAGTGATGGCATTTTATATTCAAAAGGTCAACTTCACTGTGACATCATAATGTTCTGCAAAAAGACCGTAGCGCAACGCTGTAACTCAGGAAGGGGACATTGTGACCGTATTTCCTGCAACTTGGCTGGTTGGCGGGGGCGTACAACCACAAGGAGGTCATTGTAGTTAGAACTATGTTTCAAGTCTGGTGAGTATTTGATGAAAGCTAGATTTATGGCGGGCTGTTGCTTTAATGGTTCAGAAAGCCATATATGCAATTCCTAAAGAACAAAGGCTTTGCTGCAGAGAGAGGGAAGATTTCCCATTATAGAATAATATGTTCAATCTGCGCTGATTTGCACACACTATTTGTCCTGAATCAACACTGAGTTGCCATAAGCTTGTGTGTGTGTGTGTGTGTGTGTGTGTGTGTGTGTGTGTGTGTGTGTGTGTGTGTGTGTGTGTGTGTGCGTGTGTGCGCATGTGCAGAATATGAATACAGGTATGGATTGAGAAATAAGGAAAGCCAATACACACACACTGACACATAGTGTGCATTCAGAAAGTACTCAGACCCCTTAACTTTTCGAATGTTATGTTGCAGCTTTATGGTAAAATTATTTCAATTCATTTTTTAATTCAATACCCCATAATGACAAAGTGAAAACAGAATTTTAGAAATTTTTGCATTTTCATTAAAAAAAAAACGGAAAAACTGAAATATCACATTGACATAAGTATGCAGACCCTTTGCTATGACATGAGGCTCAGATGCCTCGCATTTCTCTTGATCATCTAAAAGATGATCAAGAGAAATGTTTCTACACCTTATTCTGAGTCCGCCTGTGGTAAATTCAGCTGACTGGACATGATTTAGAAAGGCACACACCTATCTATATAAGGTCTCACAGCTGACAAAGCATATCAGAGCAAAAACCAAGCCATGAGGCTGAAGGAACTCCCTGCAGAGCTCAGAGACAGGATCGTGTGGAGGCACAGATCTGGGGAAGGGTACAATAAAAAATTCTGCTGCATTGAAGGTTCCCAAGAGCAAAATGTGGGGAAAAAAAAAAAGTGACGGGGGCTGAACATACAGTATATTATGCACATGCACACGGATATGTATGCATTGCCTCCCTCCAGGTGGGCTTTAACTTTCTTTCTCTTCTTTATACTGCTGCCAATCATACACCGTGCTCCTGTCAGCTCACTCCACTCTGAAATAAGACAGGCTTGTCTTCAGTCCAGTGAAACACCTTTGTATTCACAGCACTCAGATTTGTAGAACAGTGCACAGGAACAGTTGTGGATTACGTACTAACTTCAGATCCAGAGAGATTTCCATATGGAGCAGATTTTCGGTAAAGCACCATAACAAAGCACTCATATTCTGGCCTCTGCTGTAATTCTCCGGGTGTGCTGCCTCTGCTTCTGTTTTCAGTTGATGTGGTACCGCTTGCATAGTGATTCCCTCACTGCTTGGTTTAGAAAATTATTTTTATCATCTAATATTTCATGGTATCTCTGCTTCATTAGATTATATGGGCGAATAACAGGCCTGACAGAATGGATATAAAGCGCCAAGCAGCCAATGAGTCAGATGCAATCTGACATGCATATTAAATGTTAGTATGCTGATCCACCACATCAGTCAGATTAAAGACAAATCTAACTATTTATATCGCTCAAACATACATATCACATTAATATATCAATTTTAATTATTTCATTGTACAAAATGTGACCATCAGTTGGCTATATTCTTGTCCTTTGAGGGTCACCAGGGAGGCTGGAGCCAAGCTGATATTGGGCGAGAGACGGGGTAAGTCTATGACAAGGCTGACACATGGAGACAAACGACTCACACGCACACATTCACACCTATGGGCAATTTAGAGGCACCAGTTAATCTAACCTGCATGTCTTTGGACTGTGGGAGGAAGCTGGAGGAAACCCACACAGGAACAGGGAGGACGTGCAAACAGAAATGCCCCAGGTTTGAACCCAGAACCTTCTTGCTGTGAGGCGATGGTGCTAAACACTGAACTACCATACCACCCACAGCGAGGAACGTAATGTATAAAAAAAGAAAGTCGTTTATTGAGGTTTTATTACTCATATGTATGGCATGCGTATTATAATACGGAAAAAAGGACAAAGGATAAAAATAATTTAGTGTCCTATATAGTCAGCTTCAAAACACAATTCCTGGAGTTCTCTATCTGCAATAGAGATTTGGACAACTTGCTGTGCATCTCATACTTGTGACACTAAGCTGACACAAAATATGAGATTGCTTTTGACAGTACATTTATGCAGGATGACCCCTCCCAGATCCCAAATCAGTCCATCAGGATTCAAATATTGGAGTTTTTTTAACGGTTTGTTGATGACTGAGCGTATGACCAGTGAGTGATGTACAAAATCGAAATTCATTAGAATCATAATGACAAAACTGTCGTGTTAAGAACATAATCAGGTTACATTATCCGCATTAAGATTGCCATCATTGCAGGAGTAACTTAGTTAACATGGTTCAGTGACTTGTCAAGCGCACTCTTGTCATATGCTGTGGCACTTTATGCTCCTTTTGAATCTGTGCACATGCCACAAAGAAGTAAAAGTAAAAACAATATGGTGCATAAGAAATAGCAAATATGTGTCCTTCACCGCATCATAAAGACATCACTGTGTTAAACAATGAGCGCGAAGTCTCTCTGTTTCCATTGTCAACTACAGTACTGCACTGTATATCCCTCCAGGTGTTAGATTGAGATGAAACCACTCTGAGTCACCGTAAAGCATTTAAATGCTTGAATAGAAGTTGGACTTTTATGTGGGTATTTGCAGAGGCAAAGACTTTGAGGATGTTCAGCGTTTAAAATGTGACTTGTTATGGGAGTCACTGATCTAGCAAATGTCTGCACCATTATATACAGATTGTTTGATTAGAAGAGCATACTAACTTACAGTAAGATGCAAAGACCCGCCCACTTATTCCTGATTTAGCTCACCTCAGCACAACTGTCTGACTGATTGGCTCTTTGCACTCTCCGAGGCTTGTTCACATACATCAATCACATCATTACGTTCTGAAAATGTGCAGAGTAGGTGGTGAGTCTCAGTAATTTCATAGAAGGAAGGAAAGATAAAGCTGGACTTTGATTCAAGCACTGTGGTTTTCCACAATGGAAATATAAGTAAATGATTTTTATGGCTTGTGCCAGGGCCGAGTCCTTAATCCCAATTTAACTCTGCTTACCTTTTTCTTATTCTGTTAAAAACACACACACACACACACACACACACACACACACACACACACGCACACAGCGATACACCACACTGCACTTTCCCAAAGTACATTACAGACACTAACAGCCGAGTTGTGTAACAGCCCACTGTTAGCTCATTATCTCATATTGTTAGCCCATTATCACAGCAGACAGCCTGGCAGTCATTAGCAGCCCGACTGATAACTCAAACAGATAGGTGTAGCGAGCTGAGTGGTGGAGAGAATAGATGGGGAGGAGGTTGAATAACAATAACAAAGAAGAGAG